AATTGCTGGAGGGAATGAGGGTACCAGGTGGAGCAGGGCAAAGGGGAAAAATTGGGACAACTGTAATAGCATAAATAATTCAAAGTATTAAAAAATAAAGTAGGTTCCCATGAAGTTTCATGAATTGTATTTGGTTATTATGTCTTTTTAGTCATTTACTTTAGTATAGCCTCATTAACTTTTTTCTTTGTGACATTGACTTTTTGAAGAAAAATTGTCTTATAAGACATTCTGGATTTGCCCTATTTTCTCATGGTTATTTTTGTTTATTTTTAGTCTTGTTCCTTTATTTCCTTTATCTCATATAAACTGAAAATCACTCTGAAGATTTATTAGCTTCAGGTTAAACATGTTTGACAAGAGCACATCATAAGTAATGCTTTGTGCTGTGTATCATAACATCGGATTGTCCCATTGCTCTTGAGGTTTGGCTTGCTTTCGTGGTTAAGGTGCCATCGTAAAGCACATCTCTCTCTTTTCAATTAGCAAGTAGCCTGTACAAATGATGCACATATATATTGAAATGCTCGGAAAGAAGTCCATTTTCCCCCCCAGAGATAAGTGCTCTGTTTCTTCAATAGGATCGTGTTTCTTTTAGGGAACTGTGAAGATAAATTTCCACCTTGGGATGGAAATACATGCAGTTTGCAAAAAGATCACTGAATTTTAAAAAATAGAAAATGTGTCTCTGCTTACCAGGAAAGGATACTTAATAAATATTTTTGCATAAGGCTGGTTCTATAATTCAGTTTAAATATATTAATTAAGGAATACTTTGAGAGAAGAGAGTGAGAAAAATTTGAACCTCAAGATGTGATCCCTAGAGCAGAAATCTCCCCTAGGTTTGCTCTGTGGTGGTAGCAGAGAGTCATTTAAATAAGCTGTAGCAAAGACCTAATAAGAGAGGGGTTTTTTTGGCGGCAATTCATTGAAGGAGTATGATCTTATACAAGATTTTTCTACAAGAAGGTTTGAAGAGCTTATGTTGCTTTGAAGAGGAAGAAAGCACTCCTTTTGTCCATTTCAAGTGTCAGAGTGCCCTGTCTCTATGGATTTGTTTGGGACTGTTCTCAGCAGTGTGATAGTTCTTGAGAGCAGGCTGGTGTGATGCTCTGGAGTAAAGTGGGGATGCACATGCTGGGACCTTCAATTCTTATCCACCTCTCCAGGGTGCTGCTGCTCAGTTGATCATAGGTGACAGGCCATCCAGTTTACTGTCAACACCATGTCCAAGTACACTTTTATGGGTATGCAGGGTAGATGAATTGAGTAGCACAGGCTAGTTCCTTGGTTCAACATATCTCCCTCCTGGCAATCTGGTGTGATGGAAAAACACACCCTTGGCTTTAGAGGAGACAGACCTGTTCTTACTACTTACTAATAATATGATTTTGGGGAAATTATTGTTATTATTATTACTATTTTTTGCTTATTTTGGATCAGTTATTATTTCATTTAATATTCACACCACACATAGGAAATAGTTACTATGAATATCTCCATTTTTACAGATGAGGAAACTGAGTGACTGAGAAGTATGCATGTGTATTTTATGGTCTACCCAGACATACCATATGTATGTGAGACATACCAGAAGTTGGCCTGAGGACCCTACCTAGCAGGGCCTCCTGCCACAGGCAGGGAGATCTCACAGGATGGGGGTGGAGGTACCCAGTCAGATGAGGAGGGGCGTGAGGAGGCTGTTACCAACCTGCCAGAGGAGAGACACTGATCTCTTCAGTCTGATAGTGGTTCCGAAGGAGAGTGACCACCAAGGAAACAGTAAAAGGGCCCCGGAAGAAAAGAGACAGTCATAAACACACTCCAGATACAGAAAGCACCAATACCACCAGGCAATGCTGGTACTTGTCAGGCACAGTCTTTCTGCTCCTTCCCCAACAGCGAAGTCTCCCAACAGTGTAGTCTTTACTTTCTGCCTTGCTTCTCTTTGGAGAGGGCAGAAACCACTGGTGGGGTGGCAGGGAGGACAAGGAGCAAAGGAAAACACTTAGAGTAGAGAAGATGGTGATTCTGCTCCTCTTTCCTGCCTGAAGCAGCACACTCTGGGAATGAGAGAAGCATTAACTCCAAATGAAGACTAGGTTTTGATTTTGACTGTTATGTGGGACTGGATATTTAAATGATTGAAGTGAGTTGGTTTTGTGGATGAAAGTGAAAATAAAACTTTTTTGTATTATTGTTGTCTCATAGGGGCTAGAACAGTAAACAGACCTGCTCTAAATTCACCTAAGGAACAGAAGAGAAGCCACCTCCCAGAAAGTGTTTGAATGGGCAGTGGGAGAGAGTGGTAAAGCTGTTCTCTTTCTTGCACTCTTTGGTGTCCTTCTCTTCAGCATGATGCAAATTCAAGCCACCGGTATATCTGAGGGATCTTTCTTCAATGTAAGTATTACTCAGAATACCAAAGATTCAAAACAAATAAAAGCAGGTCTTTTCCTCTTTCCCTATCTAAACCTACTCCCACCCAAATAAACTAAAGCAGCTCTTCCTATATATGTTTTATGTCTTTACCAATGAAAAGCAAAATTATTGATGGTGACAAGTATACACCACTAGAAATGAACACAAGTCCCCCGCACCCTTAGAAAACCCAGCTGGCTGGGATGTTATAGTGTCTTTAGATGTGTTTCTAGGGAACTTGGGACAAAGATACGAACTTTCTTTGTTCTCAACTGCAGCCACCTTCTTTTAGTGGTAGTTGGATGACAACATGTTTTAGCACTCTGAGTCCCGCCCCCCGCCCCCACTTCACCTTTATCCTTGGGTACACCTGACTATAAGAAAGTTCTTACCTGGTTGAGTTAAATAAGTAGTAGCCCCCTCCTCCCCCACCTTCTGGCAGAAGAACCCTGGTTTGTTTTTTAATTATTTTATTTTTCAGTTACAGTTGTCTTCATTTTCTTTCCACTGCTCCCCCACCCCATCCAAACCCACCTCCCTCCCTTGCTTCCACCTTCTTCCTGGGTTTTGTCCATGTGTCCTTTTTAGTAGTTCCTGAAAACCCTTCTCCCCACTGGGTTTTGTAAGTACAGAGGACTTTTGCTTTTCCTTTTCTTCTAGTTGTTCCTCTTGTGGTTTGAGAGAGAAGTTTTCATGCTTCTGGATATTTGTTTTGCAGTTCTGAGAATGATCAGGGTGTCAGCTATCAGAGTCAGCAATTTTTCTCAGAGAGAGAGAAAAAGTATGTTCACAAAGTTAGAAAAATACCCTCAAACAAACTCTGAGGAAACAAGGGTCCCTAGGTTTTACTGAGCTCTCCCATCCCACCCTATATAAGAGGATATAATATAAAGTGAAAGGGGACACAGCGCATTGTAAAATACATTATAATAGAAATCCAAGCATTAAGAGACATTTTAGGTAAATGAGTTCCCCATTTAGTTTAATCTTGAAAGTTTCTGCCTTTACAGGTTTTTGTATTCCTTGCTCTGGCTAGTAGGCCTTTAGATCTGTGTTTAGGGTTCTGAACTGGGTTTGTTCCCAGCACATCATTTTTCTGAAAGTCCCAAGTATGGCATTACTTCACCCTATAGTCCCCACAAGGTCTGGGCAATGTTCTTGGAAACATTAGGATGATCTCACTAAGTTGGAAGAAGGGTTGCATAATAAAACAATGGTACTTCTCTTTCTCAGGCCACTGCACACTGCTAACACGTACTGCTTCTTGACCTTTTGGCTAAGATCCCATGGAGAACAACTAAAATATTAGCTTCCTGTCAGTTTTCTCACCCTTGAGGCTATAATTTCTGACAGCTGTAAGAGATCTTGTACTTTTGGGGGCCCAGATGAGCCCCTCTGTGATAGCTGGGTTTGTCCAAAAAGGCTGTATCATAGGCTATCCAGTCCAATAACCCATGTTACACTTAAGTCCTCACTGTGATGTTGGCTGATTTTCCCCTGGCTGGAGTTGTCCTGCCTGTGCTTGAGTACCACCAGTGAAGGGTAGGGAACTTGGAGGCAGCTGATCCCATCTTTGCCTTATCATTTGGCTGACTGTTAAATGTTCTTTCTTCTGCTGGTCTGAAATTTGCCTCCCTAAAACAAGCTCATTAATTTCACTTCTTCCCCCACAGGTCCACACATAGTAAGTTGAATCCCTTTTTAACTATTTGAACATAGCTACTGTTTGTTCCCTAAGTTTTGCCTTTAGGGTAAATAACCTAATCTCTTGACCACATTTTCTTGGAATTTCGATTCAGGCTCTTTTTACCAAGCAAATCCCAAACATGCCCTACTATGTACACCTGGAGTTGAATTCAGTACCGAGTTACCACTTTCTCACTCTCCATATTAATTATTTATGAAACCACCAAAAAGAGCCATTACGGTTTTTTGGAATTATATCACAGTTTTGACATATAGTGAATTTATTATTAATTAAATTTCTGTTTCTGACATAGTGCCACTAAACTTGAATAGTTAAGTTTTGAACCCATGTATAGGTTTTTGTACTTATTCATTCTAAATTTTATTTCTTATATTTAGTCCATTGTTCTAACCTCTAATGCTTTTTCTGAATCTTGACTCTTTTATTGACAATATTTGCTGTCCTTCCTGAATTGTTATCATCTATAAATCTGTTGGGTATACCTTCCATATTTGCATCTTACTCATTGGTATTAGAAGGGAAGGACAGAGGGAAAGTAAGAATAAAAATTACAGTCCAATAATGAAGTAATCTTACAATTTACAACTCTAATAATGAGTTGTAGGTCCAGTAGAACAAGCCCTTGTGTAGTGCACTTAGTGTGGTGGGAGAGATCAGTAATGTTTCAGTAATTTATACTCCTTATAACATAGCATATTAATTTTTTTAAAAGTAAGAAATTAATGACAGCCTTTAAAGCAAAAGAAAAAATACCTGTGGGTGCATGAAAAAAAAAAGATAGCCTGCAATTTCATTTTAACCTCTGGTCACTCACCAAAACCACAATTGTTATTCTATTTTTTTTTGTTATTCTATTTTAAAAACAAAACTCCTACAGTGATGATAACATTTTTGTTAACAGCAGTTCACTTACCGAGTATTGAGACTTCGGGTCTGAGTGAAAAAAAAAGAAAAACAAACAAACAAATAAAACCCCAAAACCCAAACCAAACAAAAACCTTGATGCAAATACAGTAAACTTTTCAAAATTGAGTTTCTAGATCATCTGGTTCAGTTAATTGGTAGCTAAAGATGTGGTTTCCTTTAAACAACCCCATATGTAGGCTTTCAACCCCTCCCATTAAAACTAATTTTCATAATTCTTAACAGTGACAGAAACATGTATGTGAGAGATAGAAAGGAACTCAATTTCAGTTGGTACATTCCAATGGAATAAAGAGAAGCAGTGGGCTTCAGGAGATACACTTGAAGGATGAGTTGAATTTTCCAATTAGAAATGGATGTAGCATGACTCTCCATGTTGAAGATTTCCAGGTAAGTTCAAGGGAAAATAACTGAAGCTGAATTCCATAAGGAAGTAATAATTCCTTTTCTGATTAATGACTGTCTGTAGGCAACACTGCCAGGACAGACAAATTGCTGTACTACATTCCAGCTTCTAAAAAACTCCTTTCATCAGTTGGATACTTAAACCTACTTTAGCTTAGTCTAATTAATGAGATGCATGCCTGTATGAATGATCAGTAATGAGATCACTGTCCTTTATTTTCCTTCTGTTTATGCAGTGTCATAGCTACATTTTTGGCTATGTTTTATGATGTTATGTCCTGGGCAACTGCAATCAAGTTCCTAGTGAGACTGTTGTGGGTTGTTTATAACATAATTTCGGAGTCTCGTTTGTTTGAACTTCTGATCTTCCTCTGCTACATACACACACACCATCTATCTCTCTCACATAATCACAAATAGTTTTTTCTAGCACAAATATTGTAATTATTTGTAGCTGAACATTGTATTTGTGAAGCAAATGAGCATTTATCCTTGAGAATTTTTTACTTTTAAGGCTTGGGTCATCGGTGTAACAAATAGATGGGCCAAAGTCACCCCCACCCCTAAACTACTCTCTGATTTAACCACAGTGAACTCCTTGCACGTCTCCAAATGTATTATAGTACAACCTCTTCCAAAGCTTGCATATGCTCTTCTCTTTGACTGAAATATCCCCTTTCTCTGACTCAATAATTTTTACCCACCAAAATGAGGCTGAGCATGTTCCAGGAAGTTCTCCCTGGTTTCTAGTGCTTACTAAAATGCCCACGTGCTTATGTTTTTACATATCAGGTATCACACTGTATAGAAACATTAATTTCTTTCTATGTCTTTTGTTTTTACATTGTGTACTTATAGATTATGTCATATATTGTATAATAGGTGCTACTACAATTTGAGATATAATGATGCTCAACAAACATAATAAAGATTTTTTTAAAAGTAGGAAGCTTTTCTTGTTGTCCAGAGTAGAATAGGTGTTCACACTATACATTCTTGCAGAGCACTGAACTTCTCCTTTGCTGAACTTGTCATATTTGAAAGTAGGTACGTACTTTCAAATTTTTTCATGTCTTCTCCTCCCCTCAAATATAACTCCTTAAAAGCAAAAACTGAATTTTTTGTTTTTCCTTTGTTTTGTTTTAATTTTAAAAATTAAGTTAAAGTTGACATTCAATATTATGTTTATTTCAGGTGTATGGTATAGTGGTTGGACATTTATATAACTTTACAAGGTGCTCCCCCGACATCTATTTTTTTCTTTTTTGTCCTATGCTTGTTCCTGGCACAGTGCCCAGCACAGGGTAATTGCTCAGTACGTACCGGTTAAGTGAATGACCAATGAAATTAATGGATCCTTGTGAGAGAAAATGATTATGAAACTGGTGCCCTTAGGTTTTAGTTTAATGCCAGGGGTTGCAATGGGAAGGATGTTCTAGGAAGAGTAAGAATGTAAGAGAGTTTCTTGAAACCTAACTGGAATATTAAAGGCCAGAGTTGGAAGAAGGCAGCAGGGGTGAGGACGAAGCAAAGAAGAACAGGAACCTGATTAAAGGAGAGTGGTGTGAGGGGAGGGTTTATACCCCAAGTGGTGGCTGTGGGCTATTGTGATGAAGGCCACAGGGAAGTAAGGGGTAGGCAGGATGGAGGTGATTCTAGTTTAACTAACCTTGGGGTTCCAAATAGGACTTTGGATTACAAATTTTTTAATGGCCTCAACAACCCCCCTTCCAAAGTTAGCAGGGCTCTGTAGAAAGAAGTTTGACTTTGCTATCAAACAAAACTAGTTGCAGAATGCAGCTACAGCACTTAACTAGCTGTCTGACTTTGAGTAAGGCATCTGACATTTCTGGGCTTAAGTTTTCTCATTTGTCAGAAAAGGATAACCATTTACCTTGAAGAATTGTGCACAGTGAAATGAGATAAGCTTCATAATGCATCTAGTTCAGTCTCTGGCTCAGAGGAATTACTGAGCAAATGGTAGAAGTTGTTAATATTAACCAGGCTTAACCTTTATGAAACTTTTGAATGGTTCTCTTACTGGCCCTATATTGTTCAGTATTTTTAATCAATGGGTTGAAGTATTCTTATTAAATTTAAAGAATACGCTGAGAAAACTGAGAAAAACAGCTAATATGTTGGCTGACAGGCTAAGAAGCCACAGACATCTCAGCTGCTGAGAGGGATAGGCTGAAACCAACAGGATAAAATTAATAGGAACAGATTTAGATTCTTGCTTTTGTGCTTGAAGAATTAGCTGAAACTAGAACAAGGGAGACCTCGCTTAATAGTTTATAAGAGAAAAGCCCAAGGGTTTTAGCTGGCTGTCAGCTTAACATTAGCCAACTGGGCAAGGGCTGCCAAAAGCTCATGTGATCTGAGTCCCTGTGATGGAAATAGAGCAACCAGAAGAAACGGGGTCATTGTCCAAGTGTCCTTGTGCTGGGAGAACATTAAGGGAATGTGCTCAGTTCTTGGCCTGTGCTTTATGAGAGATAGATCTAGAAGAAGGTTAATAAGAGAGTCAAAGTTCTGGAAACATGTCATATGAGCAAGAGTCAAAGGAACCGGGATGTTTAGTCTGGAAAAGAGGCAACTGAAATGGTGCAGGGTTGGGGGTGGAGAGTGGGTGGCATGGAGCAGGCTGCAGCCTTTAAATGTTTGAAGATTTTTATTTGGACAAGGAATAGACTTGCTCTGCAGTATTTCAAAGGATGGAAGAAATATTACAGTTGGAAATTAGAAGGAAGGAAAATGTTGCTCAACATGTGTCAAAATATACTCATTGTAGCTGTACTCACTAGAATTTATAAACCCTCTGCTAAGCTCTTCTTATATATGACTGTTCTTATATATTTCTCCTTTGATCCTTACATCAGCTTGGTAATGTGGGTATTATTATCCTCACCTGAGGCTTGTAATGAAGAATCGTTTTGTCCACAACTATGTAGCAGGTTAAATGATGAAGCTGGAGCTCTAACTCGGGTGCCTCATAACTAGAAAGCCTGTGATTTTTAGCCCTATGGCGTATTTCACCTAGAGTTTCCTGGGACACAGGACTTTCAGTGCCAAAACCAGGACAGTCCTGGGCAAATTGGATCTGTTGGCCATTCTAATTTTACAGCATGTTTACCTGTACCCTAGCTGGAGGAGACCTTTGCTTCCTAGAAAGCTAGGATTATAGCTCAGTGCCTAGTTATAGCTCAGGTTTTAAAAGTACTTCCAGAAAATTTTCATTGTTCGCATATGGAAATGGTTTGTCCTATGTGGCAATGAGCACCCAGTTCCTGGGTGTAATCGAACAGAGTCTGGGATGCCACCTGTCAGAGTTGTGGAGGACGAGAATTCACTTTTGGGCTTATTGTGGTAAAGACCATTTCCACAATCCTTTTTCACCTCTGTTGTTCTGTGATTCAGACAAATAGCTCTCCTTGCTTGGACTCTGATGCAATTTCTTAGGCTCTTTATCCAGGGTTGAGAGCACACTTGTGTGGCTGGTTTGAGATAGTGTCTCAAGAAACCTGGACCATGAACTCGTCCCTCTTTCTGTGGTCATGGCCTCCTGCTGAATGCAGCCAAAAGCCTGTGTATAAATGTTCTGACATCTTGGTCCTCAGAGCACACATGCTTTGCATCTTCAACCCAAAGCCCTTCCAAGAAAGGTCCAGACACCAATTCATTATGTATAGGTCATTGATATGTTTATTCATTTAAAAATCATTTCAAAGAGGGAAACAAAACAGGTCTCAGCCCATCCTTTGAAATGCACTCATCAGTGAAATCTTATTTCTTCAGGAGTCTTTAAGGGCCTTGTGGCTGAGTATCTGGGAGCCTATTAATATTCTGAGAATCTTTTCTGGACCTTTGAAATTAGTCCTGTGTCTGTGTAGTGTTGTTGCCTTGGAAAAGCTTTCTTTCTTTCTTTCTGTATTTTTTTTGTAGTCTACACTGGTGTTAAAAGTGACATAGAATGAGCAAAGGGGTTACCATAACATGTTTGTCCCACATACATGAGGACATCCTTGGTGACCCTCTGCTATAACCTAGCAAGCACATGGAGCAGTGAGAGTGTATCTTCCAGAGGGAGACCTTTGTCACTCAGAGGGTTTCTCTTGTCAGCTAAAGGAGATGCCCTTTTGTCCCTGACAGTTTTGTGTGGAATGCAGGCCAACACAGATTGCCAACACAGGGAGTTCTCAATGGAAAAAAAATGGAACACAGAGTAAAAATTTCCAAAGAAAGTATGGTAATCTTAGAAAGTCCACATTTTATCCCTTGTATGTCCTCGGTCTATGTATACCTTCTCTATGAGGGCCCAGGCAACAAACACCAGAGCCATTTTTCATTTAAGTCTACTACTGCTCATTTCTATTTTCTTTTTCTTTTGATGCCTAAACAGTGTTTTTTTCTTTCTTTCTTTATTTTGATTTAAACTTTATTGCATTTTTCCCATTTAGTTCCCTTATACCTGCTCCCCAGCAATCACCACACTGTTGTCCATGAGTCCCTTTTCCTTTTTGCTCAATCCCTCCACTCTCTAACCTCTCCCTCCACTAGCTGTCATCTGCTTTCCATCTAGGAACCTGTCTTTGTTTTGCTTGTTAGTTCAGTT